AAGTCTGCCGAGTCAGCTAGTGATGATAAAAATAAGCATCAACTTTCCATGACTAGCATTAGATTTCCACAAATGCCAATTTTCTTATCTAAATTGTTCTTAACAGCAAATCTGGTGTTTTCTTCTGATTTTCGCTCAACCCGCTCTATGTGAGTCTACGTTTACAAATTAAATAATTCTACTTCCAATTTTAATTTCCGGAATGCCGAGAGAGTTTGCGCCCCCGCCCTAGCTGCTTAACGTTTGAATTTCGCCAAGGAAATGTGCGTAAAAAGGTTTTTTTTTTACGAGATATCGTGTGGTACACGTTATAATGGCGATACGCAGTCGTTACCCAGATATTTCCACGCGATGTATCCAACGTAAATAAGCGAGAGAGGCAAATTATTTACGTAAACGTTTGAATGTTACATTTAATTTGTTTTTGTATATCTTTTAATCCTATAACAAGGAAAAAGGAATTTTGTTATATGATGCAATAAAAATATTTGTTTAAATTTTAACCCTACTGTAACTATACTGAGACCTTAGAACTTATATCTCAAGGTGGGTGGCGCTTCTACGTTGTAGATGTCTATGGGCTCTAATAACCATTTAACACCAGGTGGGCTGCGAGCTCGTCTACTCATCTAAACTAAATAAAATAAAAGTGAAATTTTGTAATAATCGCGATTGTTGCTGATTCTAGTCATAATATATTATGGTGTTTCATGCCTCAGTTGTTTAGCAGAGCTTGGCAGACGAGTAAATAGTCGATTTTATGTTAATTATTGATCGGATTCCACAGATACCATAAATGCCATAGAGCATACTTTCATAGACCTGATTGGACCTGAGAGATTTTAGGTAGTGTTTTGCGATCAGGTTTAGTCATAAAATAAAATCCAATCATTTTTTTTCTTCTTCTAAATGTACATATAAACTTGAACGGGGCTGTGAAAGAATCAACCTATCGTTTTCTAACATAATTCTTCTAAACTATCCGCTAGTAACTGGCCTTTATCCTGCTCCTTAGATTGATATATAAGGGTGCGTTTTATTGTGGCTTATCCGACCTTATCTAGTAATTAAGTTCGACTTTAACGGTAATCCGGATACAAGCCGGACAGTGCGGTGTACTGATGACTATAAAACCGAAACAAATGTGAATGGATTTCTTTGTTGTACTATGAAAAATATTATTTACTAGCTGACCCGGCAGACTTCGTAGTGCCTCAATCGATAAATAAAAGACCGAAGGGTGACACATCAAAGAAAAAACAAAATTGTTATTTTTATTTAATTCCGAGTATTTTCATATTTATCTACCTTTTAAACCTTCTCTGGACTTCCACAAATAGTTCGAGACCAAAATTAGCCAAATCGGTTCAGCCGTTCTCGAGTTTTAGTGAGACTAACGAACAGCAATTCATTTTTGAAGTGAAACTTCTTTAGGCGCATGAGGGCGAAATGTTTACAGATGTAACGTCACGCAGGTATGCAACGGAAGTGTCGAAAATTTTTAATACAGCGCCATCTATGAGATTTTTAATACTAACGTGCGTATGAAACCTCTTGTAGTGAATTTCAATTTAGGATTATACGTGACGTTAAAATATCGATTCACAGAGGGCGCTACCTCATTTACAATTATTTACTAATGACAAAATTTTACATATACTTAGACATTTAGGATAGTTGTATTTTAATTTTTGAAGGTTTCACTTCTAACACGTGTGAATTGCACACATGTTTCTTTTTTATATATAGAGATTATTTGTTAAAGCGACGTCTCGAACAACTTTCAATATTTTCAGTAATTACTGACTTAAAATCAAATGTTATTGTTATTTTACCTATACCTAATCGCAATCCTACCATTTTAGTGATTACGTCGAATTGAGATTGTATCTAACTGGCAGAATGTACTTCAATTGAAGCTTAAAAGCTCCAATGCTTCTTAAATCCATGTCTGAATCTAAGCGACCATCAGCAGATTACAATTGGTCGATTGAGTGCGTCTAGCCTAATACTCTTACCCCTAATAGGATTTTGATCTAAACTGTCAGTACAGAAACATATTCTAAATGAAGATTCTATCTTTAAATCATTCAAGATTGTTTGGAAAAAAGTTACAACGGTAATTTAAATTTTACAAATGCCAGTATTTTAATCAAAATTGTTCTGCTGTTAAGAATTGGATGGGGTATGGATTTGTCGTCTGATTCTTGTCCAACTCTGCTCTATGCTTACAAATTAAATAATTCTACTTCCAATTTTAATTTCCGGAATTTAGATATATTCTTAAAATTGTAGCTCTTCGTTGAATTGGTTGGAGTTAGGTAATCTGATAATCGGAACTTGTATGTAAAGGGAGACGGAAGTATTCTAGTTGAAGCACCAAGAAGCTTCTGTAGGTTAATTTTTTTGCAACGTAGCTCCTTACACTTTGCTTTAGCACTATAATATATTTATAAATCATGTATATCTATATATTTATGTATATGTATTTATTTAAGTACGAGTATTTGTATCTATAAATAGTATGTATGTTATATATACACATATGTTTAAGTAATATCATCTTCACACTACACCTACCAAGTTTCATCTCTGCACTCCCCTAAGGTAGACTGTTAGAGAATGCCTATGGCATTAAGTCCGTCTTTATACTTTCTAGTATATGAAATTATAAATAAATAAATAAGTATATTATCATAATCAGCGCACAGTTGTCCACTGGACATAGAGACCTCTTCCATACACCAATGAACCCGACATTCTCTCCGAATCCATTTAATTTTATTTATAGTTTAAATAAACTAGTCAGCACTAGTAAACCGATATTTAGATGCACGGCCGGTACTTGAAAATATTTCGATGCAGACGGCTTTAGAAACTTTTTATTACTAAGATGGGTGGACGAGCTCACGACCTGTTTACTCACGACGGACCTACGGGTTTTAAGTGTTCACCGGAGCCAATAGACATGAAATACGACAATGCCGTTGCCCATCTTGAAACATGACTTCTAAGTCTCAGGTTTTAGAGTAAAACTGTTTTCTCCTACGCTTAAAATCGAAACGCATTACTGCTTCACGGCAGAAATAGGCAGCGTGGTGGTAACTGCCCGTGCCGACTCCCAAGGCGCCCTACTGCCCATAAACTGTAGGATTAGTAGTACAGTAGGATATATTATTATTTTTTCCAGCGATACTGTATTGTTAGCGATGGTCGACTTTTTAGTAACCTTATCAATAGCAAGTTCTTGTATTTGTCCAATGGCCGCATAAACGGCTTACACACACATAGATTCCGCCTTCGATATGTACCTTTCGAATGAGATTGTTTTAAGTATGTGTTTAGTATGTATGCATGCATATAATGATATGGAGTATTTCAGAATGACACAATAAAAGATTTAATTGTGTTTTCTGTGACATAATAAGAAAACAATATTTAAAGCCCTCTTTTTTAAAATAAATGTTAAAAATTAAACAGTAAACATTATTAATAAACTTAAAACTGAGCTCTCTTTTTACTCAATGATATACTTCACTCCATGACACTGAATGCACTGAAGAAAAATCTTTCTAAAAACTATTTTAAATAATAAAGGTATAAAGGTTTTTCTTTGCACACATATATACATATACAGGGTGTTCCAGAAAGAATGGATAATCCTGAAACACGTCATAGTAGAGCTATTGGGGACTCAAAATACTAGTTGGGAACTACCTCAGAATTCTTTTTTTATATTTTTTATTTTGTGTCCTCAGTAGCTCTACTATGAGGTGTTTCAGGATTATCCATTCTTTCTCGGACACCCTATATATATAGATAGATATTACAATTAAATATTAAAATCTGCATCGTCCCACGTATCATGATCATGAATGAATTAAAAACTATATACTCTTTAAATAACTATAATAATTCTTCGGCATACTATAATAAGTCGACCTCTAAAAACATTGTAAATCACTTCATACTTCTGGACATCTGAACAGACCCCGGCCTTAAAATATATTTACATAGTTGGTTTAGATTAATTGAAGTTCGCTAATGGAGCCCGGATCTTGTTAATTCGTAAAAGTAAACTTTGCGCCTCCGGTGCCCTGTGTTAACAGTCAAATAATAATTTTAGGATACGATAAAATCGATTTGATGCTTCGAAAATCCATTCAAAATTTATGTATCTAATTACCCTTTTAATGCAGTTGAAAAAAGGGTTTTCGCAATTTCAACAAGAGATACGACTTTCATGGAATCAAACCTACTTTTTAAACTCTCATATTTTATTTATGACTATTACCGACACCTAAAATTTTTTTTCTTATTGTCCTTATAGGCAGTAGAGCATACGGCCCATCTATTGGTGAGTGGTTACCATCGCGCATGGACATCAGCAATGTCAGCGGCAGAGCCAAGCTGTTGTCTACCAGCCAAGGCCTGCATATATAAATATACTAGTCGTACTCGCCCGCTTCGCTGGGTATTTAAAATTAACATTATTATTTATTGTCATCATTATTAGGGAGTCCAAAACTCATATAAATATTAGCCTATCCATTAAGTACATGTATTTTCTACATGGATACCAAGTTTCAAGTCAATCAGATGCATGGTTAGGTAGTTATAACGGAACATCCGTAAATACAACTATAGATTTATACATTAGTATAGATTACCCTTTTAATGCAGTTGAAAAAAGGGTTTTCGTAATTTCAACAAGAGATACATAAAACTTTCATGGAATTAAACCTACTTTTTAAACTCATATATTTTATTTATGACTAATACCGACACCAATTTTTTTTTTCTTATTTTCCTTATAGGCAGTAGAGCATAAGGTCCACCTAATGGTCAGTGGTTAAAGTCGCCCATGGACATCAGCAATGTCAGGGGCAGAGCCAAGTCGTTGCCTATCAACCAAGCCGCTGCCTACCAGCCTAGCCGGTGCCTGCCTATATAAATATATTTATTGTTTTTAAATCCTAAAGGAACCGATATTGTTACAGGGGTGGTGTTAGCCTAAGATGGTGTTGGCGCTGGTGGTCGGAGTGCTGTGCGTGTGGGGCCGCCTAAGCGACGCGAACCCTGAAGCGAAGCGGCTTTACGACGACCTCCTGTCCAACTACAATCGACTCATCCGGCCAGTCGGCAACAACTCAGATCGGCTCACTGTCAAGATGGGGCTAAGGCTCAGTCAGCTCATCGATGTTGTGAGTATTAGCAATTGTTTATTTACTAACAGAACGCATATAAACTTTATCACTACATTAGTATAAAACAAAGTCGCTTTCTGCGCAACGGATTTTGATGCGGTTTTTTATAATAGATAGAGTGATTGAAGAGGAAGGTTTATATGCATAATACCATCCATTAAATAGTGGAGAAATCAATAATAAATTACAGTTTCCGAAGCGAAGCGAGGGCGGGTCGCTAATAATCTATATATATAAAAATGAATTGCTGTTCGTTAGTCTCGCTAAAACTCGAGAACAGCTGGCTGGATTTGGCTAATTTTGGTCTTGAATTATTTATGGAAGTCCAGAGTAGGTTTAAAAGGTAGATGATATGAAATTCCTCGGAATTAAATAAAAATAACAATTTCGTTTTTCTTTTGTGATATGTCCCCCGTCGGATGGACACCTTTTGCTTGTTTTAAGTTTATTTTATACAAAAGTTTAGGTCTTTTATTTATCGATTGAGGCACTACGAAGCCTGCCGGATCAGCTAGTACTTCTTAAAGAATTATTATTTACACAGTCAAATCAAAATTTCGTTCTTTGTGATCACAATCAAGTTAGTCTTTTAATTCAGGCGTTCCAGAGTTAAGTAAGCTAAGAGTTAAGGACAGGTTATATTTAAAATATTTATACACTGATCTCATAGCTTAAGGTGAGCGCCGGAACTCACGTTGTGAATTGACCAACTAAGCCATTGGCAAGGCTGCTGGTGGTTTAATGGTCAATTCACAAGGTATCCTAGGGAAAAAAAAACCTAAAGGTTGGCAAACGTATTATAGGTTAGCTTAAGTGTTATTATTACCTAATTAGTATATTATTTCAATTATATATTTATATATCATATCTTATTGTTAAGGCTTACTGGTGATAAATTACTGTTTGATTACCAATTTCACAAAAAAAAAAGATTCGCTAAATGGCGTTCTAAAATGCATTAAAGATACATGAAAAACTGTACAAAAATTTAATTGCACAAAACCAACACAAACACAATGAAATGACTTCATTAAGCTGTCGTAGATTAATATATATTTAATTGTAAGTAAATATGCTATTCATCGTATTTCCCTGTCCTTGCCTATTTCAACGGAGGACCTGTAAAGCATCTATTTGCCAACCCAGTCCCTCATTACTGCGGTTCTATTTGTTCTGTCCAGTTACTATCTAATTCGATTATCAGATTTTGTTGAAACGTAATTTTAGTTTGAGTTTTAGATCAAAAATTAGGGTTCATGTATCCTTGTTTTTGTTAATTAGTGACTTTGTTTAGACATTCGTGTAATGTACAAAAGACAAAGACTCAGCGTTGACAATTAGCCTTCCCGAGCCAATCAATGCTAATTGAAACTAGATCTTAATCGAATTGAGTTAATAAGAAAATTGACTTGAAAAAAAAACTCCTACAATATTAGAAAATATCTATATATAATATATATAAATGAATTGCTGTTCGTTAGTCTCGCTAAAACTCGAGAACGGCTGGACCGATTTGGGTAATTTTGGTCTTGAATTATTTGTGGAAGTCCAGAAAAGGTTTAAAATGTAGAGAAATATGAAAAGGCTCAGAATTAAATAAAAATAACAATTTGGTTTTTCCTTTTATTGTCGGACGTATTCCTTTTGTTTGGTTTTTAGTTTATTTTATATAAAAGTTTAGGTCTTTTATTTGTAGATTGAGGCACTACGAAGTCTGCCGGGTCAGCTAGTGTTTTATAAAAATCACCAGTCTCTAATACAGCTACCATCCTGATACGCAACAACAAACATAGAATCAAACAACTCTACCATTATCAAAACGAATTATAACTAAAAGAGTCTTTGTAAATTTTATAACCGTATTTCAGATTTTTTTTTCTCCTTATGATTCAAAAATTAGAGAGGGTTCCGATTTTTGTCATTTTAACTAATTTTTCTCTGGTTACTAGTGAACTTATTCGCTAGCCCATTCAATAGGGTTCTACAACATGTATCTACAATTCATTTTGTTATAGCTCATGGTTTTACTTGTCTTTTGTTGAAGCAACTTTTGAGTGAGGAGATTGGATGTCGACTCATCAGCAGTGGTAATTGCGAGTTGAACATACCACAGCACAATTCTAAATCGATCCAACATTAATCTTTTTCGGGAACAATAAGCCCGGGGTTGCCTAATTAGGGTAGAGATGTGGGAAAAGCCCGTTAAATCATAGTATTTACTTTAAAAAAAAATCGATTTTCTAAATTCGTGTATTTGTAATGGAATTTAGTAATATATTAAAAACACTAGACAAATAATAATATTATATATACCACACAGTAGCCCGATTGAACAAAATATTTTTGTCTTGCATTTTAGTATGCAAAAATCTAAATCTATTATTTAATTACTCTAAGCATACAAAACGAGAACTCGATTCAGCTGAGAAAGCACGTTACAACTCGATCAAATTGATTCTGTTTTTTTTTTTTATGAAATCGTTCCAAAGGTAACAACTCTGATTGGACCTTACTTGATTTCAGGGCACTGATTGGGCGCTTCAATTTTTATCATATTTTTTTATGTTTGTATTCAAAATGTTCTAGTTCTTTTTGTTTTGATGTTCTAAAAGTTAGTTGTAAAGGGGTAAAGTAATGTGTTCGTAACTTCTATCTGTATCAATCAATGTTGTTAGAGTATTAAAATAATTATCGCAAAAACAACTAGATATTATGTTCTCTCGTTATTAAAAAAGAATGACGACAATTATTTTAATTTGATTTTTTTTTTTTTATGAGAATAGATATTTTTCTTACTATTTTAAAATTAGCTTGATTGTTGAATCCATCATGTCGATTTGTGCGAATTTACGTGCAGCGACATCTGTTGATAACAAACTAAATAGAAAAAATCTTACGTTACGGACGTTTTTTCCCGGTTAGGTTACCCCTCCGCATCATCCCATATGGAACTTCGTTTATTGCTTAGGTGGGTGGACGAGCTCAGGGCCCACCCGGTGTTAAGCGGTTACCGGAGCCCATAGACATATACAACGTAAATGCCGCTACGCACCTTGAGATATGAGTTCTAAGGTCTCCGTTTGTACAGTAAAACGGCTGCCCCACCCTTCAAACTGAAACGCATTACTGCTTCACGGCAGAAATAGGCAGGGTGGTGGTACCTACCCGTGCGGACTCACAAGACGTCCTGCCTCCAGTAATTACGCAAATTATAATTTTGCTGGTTTGATTTTTATTATACGATCGAACGATTTTATTATTGCTTCAGGGTGTAAGTCAATCAAATACATTGTATTTTAAAAAAATCACTAGGAATAACTGTGAAAAAAAAGAGGATTTAATTCGTAATTTATTCAAATTTGCCATTTTCTATATTAGAAATTCATCCTCGCTCATTATGGGTTCTCGTTCGCTGATTCGTCGATTTGAATATCGAACAACGAAAACGTTTCAACGTTCTAAATTCAAATTCGTAACGCTTATTTCTGGTATCCAAGCAACGTCATTATTTAACAATTTGACTAATGTTTTGGAAATCATGATATTTGACAACTTTACTACCTAGAAAATAAGGACCAAAGTAATTATATTTTATTAAAAATACAACGTCATAGTAAATTCTATATTCAAGTACCTACTGACAACAAACCCGCCACTAAAACTAAATCCCAGACCACAGAAACCAGTAACTTCGGGCAATTTATACACGACTGCCGAATTCGATGCACGTAAAATAGCAGGTATTTCAGCTGAATAAGAAATCAGTCTATTCCGAAAGTGCATCTTAGTATCTAGTTTGTTTATTGGGAGGGAGTTACATTGTACGAAACGTGATGCCCACGAGTCCATTCATGTTCGGTTTAAAGTTTGATCTGGCGTACGGCTAATTATTTTCTTATGCTTTCATGGGACTGTCCCATCCTAGGATAGCTTCATCCCATCTCATCCCGAAGATGTCGTAAAAGACGACTCGGGCACTCTCCGGAAAACAGGCAGCAATGTCCTTTGAGGAAAACAGCTAGCACAGTACTACAATTTTATATTTGTAAATTTTTGATCTAAACGATTTTGAGTGCTTCGCATTTATTGTGGTCAGGAAAAGTGTTTCAATCATAATTGTGAATGTTCTAGAAAATACTTGGAGACCTTAGAACTCATATCTCAAGTTAGGTGGCGGCATCTACGTTCTAGATATCTATGGGCTTCGGTAACCACTTAACACCAGGTGGGCTGTGAGCTCGTTCATCCTTATATGTATTAAAAAAGACACTGCTCTTACTAAGGCTAGTGTTTGTAAACTCTCTCAGGTTGAGTCCGTAAGCTCACCTGTCCATCCGGGCGTAGTTGGAATAGTCCCTTAGAGTACCAGGGAATTGGTAGGGGAAAAAAAGAATACACGTGTAAGAATTGATAGAATGAGAGTAACTTGGAAGTTCGATGTTGCTTTTATTAAACAAATACCAGTATTCTATTTTATCAAAATTTCGTCACTGCAGGATAGGAATTCCACATCATCATTATGATCAGCAGCAGTGTTCGTCGTTATTTTGTCTATTAGCCCTTATAGACACTTAATGCCAAGCGGCTCGTGAGTTCGTCAGATCTTTTTACACAAACGAATTCACAAAAAAAAAAAACATATATAAATCAAAAAAAGAAATCTCAAAAGCATATCTTTACATAACTTCAAAAGAGATCTTAACGCCCAAGCGATCCAATAAAAATAAATAAAATATCAATGTTTAATATGTTACGAATAATTAACAATATTTGTGCTTTTGGCAGCGAGTCATTTTAAAAAGAACGGGCCAGGAATTGGTGAAGAAATCCTCTTATGAATTATGATGGGCTCTAAGAGTGACTTTGATCTTTGACGGAACGCCGTTTGTAATAAGAATATTTATTCATTTTCAGTCTTTTTCATGCCAAAAACACTTCAAAGATTTTTCTGTACTTAAAAAATATATATTGCCTTTAATAACATTGGAGCCATATCC